GCAGTGTATTATTTGTTGAAACTGTACTTCCGATTTGATTTGAAACTGTCTCATTGCTATATGTTTATCAATAAAACTGTAGAAAAAAAAAATAAAAGATAAACTTTCACATCTGTGCATTGATAAAACATTCAAGTGAAGCTTAGACTTATAAAAGCAAGAGACCATTGCACCGGAACAGACCATTGCTCCTCAGCCCTGGGCTATGAACCAGTCTATGACTGTCAGGAATCAGGACACACTGTAGGAGATGAGCAGCAGGCAGGTGATGACAGCTTTGTTTGACGTTACAGCCACTCACTATGGCTTACCTGATCACCTGACTCTGCCTCCTTTGTGCCTCCTGCTTTAACATCTCATAGAAGCTCAAATGCCACGGTGAATCATGCACGCAAGGGACCATGTTCCTTAAGAGATTCTAATGCCTGACGATTTATGGTGGCGTTTAGATGCTGATGCTAACACCAGAAAATATATTTATTTATTTTATTATTTAAGGGTAAAAATATTTTATTTTGTTTAAGAGTAAAAGCAAAAATTAACAGTGAAAACAAAGACAGAAACAGAATAACATGCAACAATATAAAACAATAAAAGATAAAAATAATCAGGGTAAAAGCAAAAGTAGAGTAAAAGCAAAAACAAATAGCACAAAGAAACGGAATAACATACTAAAATACATATAAAACAATAAAAATAAAAATAATCAGAGATATATGTACAGAGACCGTAATAAATCTATTGTTTGCAGACTCATATAAAAGCACTATCATAAATAGCAAGTGACATTTAAACCTGGTCATCCAGCTTGCAGTGGCAAGTGAGTTGATGTATTTCCACCATACAACTGTATGTGGTGGAAGGGCTTAAGTCAGAATCCAACCGCAATTTCAATTTTCATGATATCTGTCCATTCTTTATTTACTTGACTGTGCATTATAGTGAGCTGTAGAATTTTGCCATTATATACTGCATTGTAATAATAACAGGGATAAAGAGTGTAACAGAAAATGCATTTGAATCTTCCCAATCTGCTCCTCCTCCCAGTCTGTAGGAAGAGGGTCTTCATGAAACTGGCTCCCACTAACAAAAAGAATGGGGACTCCTGCTCTAAAAGATAAATTTTGTTCTCTTATTTCTTTTTCTCTCAAGTCTTATAGTGAGAAAGATCCATGTCTTCTGATTTACGTTAGCCTCCACATTTGCCACCTGCGACACTTTATGTCTAGAAGCCCCCAAATGTCTCATGCAGCCATGGGGGTGGGTTTTTCATAGATGTTTCGATCTAGAGTTCATGATTGATTCGTGGTCTAATGCTGACCACGTAAGTGCTACACCTACAGGTGTGAGTGCTACACCTGCCCTGGGGCAGGTAGCCTGTGTACAATGTCAGGGACAGAAAGAGGTTTGCCTAGTCCCTCTCCCTTGTTGATTTTGCTGTGTTCCATTGCCATGAATGGCTGCTCCTCTATGGACTGCTGACTACAGACTAGATCTCTATGAAGTGTAAGCTAAATAAAGCATTCTCCCTTTAACTTTGGGTTTTTGGTGCTTTGTTGCAACAATGAGAAGAATAATTAAGATACACATCACCATTCTGAAAAAGTATAGGTATGCAAGTAAGGAAGTAGGAGTTAGAAGAGAAAGATTGTGGAGCAGTAGTGTTTCAGGTAATTTGCTAAACCAGAGACTGCCTGAACTTCTATTAATGAGAGCCTTGTTACATGAGCAATTCTAGCTCCCTTACTTGGGGAGAGAAAACTCCAAATTCCTTCTGTTAGCATTTATGATTATTGTATGTAAATACTCAGAAGCACCTGACAGCTGAAGGGGTATCTGCATTGACTAGCTGGAAGCTGGACCTGCAGGCCTTGACTAGTCTCCGACAGAGGATTCTAGCAGCTGGACAAGGTCGGCACTGCTTATGGAGGCAGGTGTGCTGTTCTCTGGCATGACAGCAGTCTAGCCCTTTACCTGTCTAGTGAGCTTTGCAGACAGAGGTCCTATCAAAGGGGTGATCAACCTGTGACACACGTGCCACAGTGGGCTGCTTGTGCCATTGAAAGGTCCAGAAAGTTGGCCATCACTGGCCTACTAAATACAGTATTAATTCACAGATTAGATTCAATTGGAGCCAATTGAGGTTTTATAGACTAGGTTGGCAACACAGCATTCAGTTATAATTTCTGTAAGAATCTTAACTTTTTGCTTGGCTCTAGATGACAAATGTCCATATAGAACACACTCCCTCAGTGAAGCAAATGCCGTTCTTCCGAAGATTTATCTTTTCCCTCTTTTTGGCTTCATTTCCACTGTAGCTGGAACAGGTTTAGCGGACAACCTCGCCGATCTCCTTTTGAGCTCCTCCTTCACCGCTTCTTCAGCCAAGCTGACCTTCCTCTTGGGTATCTTGGTGGTGTTGGGGGCGCGTGCGTAAGCTGCAGGTCGAGGTTCACGGGAGCCTCGCAGATCTAGGCAGCTGCACTGCTGCCATTTCTCCCGCCGCCAGAGCTGCTTGGGCCTATCATAAACGCCATTCTTAAGATGAGTGTGATGGAGAGAAAACATTCTCTCAGGCTTTCATAGAGAGCAATCTGGTCAAGAAATGGCCGTGACTCATCTACATGGCCGACACTGACAAAGACTCTACAAACTGCGGTATAGCATTTCAGGATAAATCCTGAGGGCATTTAACTGACCTTGTTAGATACAAAATTTACATTTCTTGTTCTATAGGTCTTGGTCTTAACTATCCAACAGAAAAGCATGAAAATAAGGTATAAAGAGTAAAGCCATATTAATATGCTGAGCTGTAAAAGGCTCAAGTCATCAACTTCTGACATTGTGAGTCCTATGGATAACCCACTACCATTATGGACTACTGGACTATATTGAAATTTTTGCTGAATTCATGCACTTACAATATTTAAATGACAATGGAATACCCTTCTCTGACAAAACTAAACAAAAAAGGGATACAAATGAAGGACCATTTTGTATCTATATATTGAAAATAATTATCAGAGATATAGAGCTACTTTCTCTTAATTTAACAAACAGAAAGATTTGTACTAAAAAACAGAATACTAGGAGAGGAGAGGCTTTGGAAATTGTTTTATTTTACAACAGCTTTTTAAACATTAATATTATTTAAGTGCATTGTGTCTCTCAGGTGTATTTTTAACAATAATTATTTTAAATGGAAATGCATTACAAGAAAATATAATTGTCCTTTAGATATCTTATAGACATTAAGCTAAGAACATTCATTAATAATTCAAAAGGCTTCACTTTCATCATTTAATATTTAAGGTGTTAATGTAAAGAGAATAGAGATTATGCAAATAGTGTTCATCTGTTACTATATCAAAATAACAGAGGAAGTGGGCTGTCAACATTTTTATAATATTCATTAATAATAAAGCAGGAAGTGGAAGTAAAAAAAAAGATGAGTGCACTCATAGTATTGTTTGCTTTAGGACAATAGTTTCTTACCACAATTCCACTTTGGAACTACCTGACAAGCTTTTGAAAGACACAAATGTGTGCATCCCTGCCCTGTGATTTCAATTTAGGTGATCCTACATTGAGCTTGGTCATAACTACATGATTCTACAATATCAGTAGCCTCAGAGTCATAGATTCTGAAGACGTTTGGGAAGTGTGGTTCATCTGAGTAGAATCAAAAGTGTCTTAGAGTATACAGCACCCTTGAAATATAACTAATGTTGGCTAAATGAAGCTATGCAAGATAAAAGCAAGCTAAGTACTGCGAGCTGTTTTGGAAACAAAACAAAAAGGGCCAGCCAAATAACTCAGTGGATTAAAGCGCCTGCAAGCAGGTGCAGGGGTCAGGGGTTTGATTCCTGGGAGTGCTGCCCCTGACTCCAGTGTGTACTGAGACAGCAATTGAGAATGGGCATGGTGGTGCAAGCCTGTAATCCCAGCTTGTTGGAGGCTATAAACAGGCAGATCACTGAGTCTGATCTAGTAGTGAGACCCTGAATATCATGTAGACCCTTCCCTAAAAAAATTAGAAAAACCTCACAAAAATGAAAGAGTAAAGAAATATGAAAAATAGAAGAACAAAGGAGACAAAGAAAAATCTCAATATTCATTTGGTTTGGAATGTGGATTCCTAAATTTTGTTTTAAGACACTTTTAGAAAAATCTGAAAGTGTTAAATTTGAATAAAATATGCTAAAAATGGAATGCTGGTCCTTATTCCCAGAAGTCAAAAAACAAACCTCTACAATTTTATCAAGAAGTTTCATTCTTATCATGCTCAAGAGAGACTTTTGGTCATTTAGAAACCATTTGTTTCATTTTATTCCCACCTTATCTTTTCTCTAGAATCACCAACAACATGAAATTCAGAAACCAAACCTCTACCTCAGAATTCCTTCTCCTGGGACTGACAGAGGATCCAGACCTGCAGCCCCTCATCTTCAGCTTCTTCCTGGTTATCTACCTCATCACCATCCTGGGAAACCTGCTCATCATCCTGGCCATCAGCTCTGACCCCCACCTCCACACCCCCATGTACTTCTTCCTCTCCAACCTGTCCCTCACTGATATTTGCATAAGCACCTGCACGATCCCAAAGATGTTGGTGACCATACAAACACAGGATCAGAGAATCAGCTACACGGGATGCTTCTCTCAGCTTTGTTTTGTATTAGTTTTCGTTTGTTTAGAAAATTTTCTCCTTGTGGTAATGGCCTATGACCGCTATGTGGCTATTTGTCATCCCCTGAGGTACACAATCATCATGCACCCCTGCCTCTGCATCCTGCTGGTTCTACTCTCTCTGCTCATGAGTATCGTGCATGGTCTGCTCCACAGTCTGGCAGCACTGCCTCTGTCCTTTTGCACAAATGTGGAAATCCCACACTTCTTCTGTGAACTCGCTCAGATCATCAAGCTGGCTTGTACTGACACCTTTGTCAATGCCATGCTGATATACTCAGCAGGAGACATAGCTTTTGGCGTTCCTCTCATTGGTGTCATTTTCTCTTATATTAAAATTGTCTCCTGTATTCTGAGAATGCCATCAGTTGGGGGAAGGCATAAAGCCTTTTCCACCTGTGGGTCTCACCTCTTTGTTGTTTCCTTTTTCTACGGGACAGCTTTTGGTGTGTACTTGAGCTCTACGTTTAGTGACTCTTCTACTAAGAATGCGGTGGCTTCAGTGATGTACATTGTGGTTCCTCAGGTGATGAACCCATTTGTCTACAGTTTGAGGAACAAGGAAATGAAGACAGCACTGAGGCACCTCATAAGTGGACAGAGATTTACATGTTGGTGTCAAGGGGCTTTGAACTAGAGTTTCTAGAATATGAAGAAATGAGAGAAACACAGGTTGGACAGAAAGTTTGGTTCTTATATCACTGTGGTCTTCCAAAATGATCACTTAGTATGATGTCCAAGCATATTTCAACTTGTGCTGTGTGCTTCCCTTTCATTTGCTCTATTCTGTAGTGTTTGACAAATGAGTTCTACCCCTCAGTTCTATTTAGTTGCTCTGACTCATTGGGAGAAGAATGTGAACTGAATCCTGAGTTTTAGAAATGCTTTATGCACCAGTTTCACAGGTAATGTTGGAGTAGCCGAACTTAGTGCAAACTGCACTACCATTTGGAGAAGCGTCTCTGGGTGAGCTCATGCATACAGCCAAGGTTGTCTTCTCCTCACGATGCTAATGAGCTGGACTGTTATGTGTAATTCAGTAATTACTGACACTTTATTCAAGCAACAGCATCTTTCTGGGTTCATATTAGCACCTGCCCCATCAGCATCATTCCTTATTTATTCACACACAATTAGATTATTTTAGTGGTTTGATGCATTTTGGAAATATGTTAGATTTTGAAGCTCATTAAAGAGGATTCTTTACTCCTTCGATTTACAGCAAATGGATCATCAATAGAGTCACCATTCATTATTGTACTTTCACAAATATAGAACACATAGTGTACAGGATTAGGTCTTCACTGAGTCCTACGTGAGTCTTCCTCATGCTAGAATCGCTCACACAGTTATTAAAATCTATAGCTTGGATCTGAAATGTTTCTTTCCAAAGGCCCATGAGTTAAGCATTTGGTCCCCAACATTTGATGCTTGAAAAATTGTTGTATCTTTACTAAGTAGTGGCTGGTCAAAGCAGGCATTTTTTTTTCCTGCTTTTGCAAACACCAGGGAATTTTGTGCTAATACAATATCCTGCTGCTACCACACCTCTGCCATTAGCATGGGAATTCTTACAACACCAGATGTGTGTTGCTGATAGCTCTGAGCATCATACATTGCCAAGCTCACAGAGTGAAATTGTTGACTTTGGGAAGGATAGAGAAGGGTTGGAAAAGAGATGGTAAGACTTGTAATAAGACAGTTAATACCTGTCTTAGCTAAGGGACAGGATATAGGAAGCTCACTGGTGCCCTATAGAAAGTGAGTAGAGAAGCATGTGGGATTCTGGAGCAGGGAAGTTTGCTGAGATCAAGAGAACCCTCTTGGATGATTAAAATTGCTAGACTAGAGACCAGCAGCAAAATACCATTTCTCTGCAAGCTGGAGCTGAAACACCTAGAAGCCAACTTGATGACAAAAAGGAAGTAGATTTTTGGGAAGCAGGAGGGACATGATAGGACAACTGGAAAGTACAGAAAGCTAGAAAAGTGGAGCACAGCGTGGAGAGAAAAACACTAATCTGGAAAGCTGATCCTGGGTGAGGAGTGGGTGAAATAGTCCTAACCACACAAGTTTAGCACAGAAGGTCCCAGACTTGGAGCAAAACTATCGACATCACTAGCAGAACTGGCCACAAGGAAAAATCACAGCTGGTGTTGACTGCAAAAACAGTGTGGGACTTTACCCTGAGGGTGACTCCTTCCACCAGGGAGGTTGGAGGTGCAGAACAAATCCAGTGCAGTATTCACCACATTTGGTAATATTTATTCAGGTGCCATCCTGGGAATAGGGTTAATAATTTTAGACTGAGCTTTAGAACAGCGCCAGATCTTATACTTGAGAGAATATTCCATGGTGACTGTATGGAAGATGGCTACAAGGGACAATCTTGGAGAAGTCACAAGCTAAATATAAGGTTCCTTCCCCTGAAAAATTTACACTGGAGGCCAGGAAAGACACAGATGTTCTTCCAAAAGAGGTGAGAAGCTGGGCCAATTGAGTAAGGATTTCAGAGGGGGCTGCATCTGGAAGAGCTTCTATTAGGTCCAGAGGTCTGCCTGACTCTTAGTCCACTGTGTATATCCAGCAGAGAACTAAGTGATAAGTTTTTTTCCCCATCTACCAGTGTGGATTGGCTTGGGTGGTAGCCACAGACTCGGTTGTATGGACAGAGGGGCCTCTGGAGTAAGTGAGGGTGGTAAGTCACAAATTCAGAGGCTCTAAAGCTGGGCAGAGAAAGCCATGACTTGGGGCATCCAGAGGAGTGTGGGAGCTGGAGCCCCTAGTGTGACTACAGCCTAGAGTTAGACATGGAGCAACCACACCACAGGGGAAAGGCAGGCAGGATTCAGAATGTATGCCCAAAAAGTGAAATGTAGAAAGAAAAGAGCAACTTACACTGACCTATTGTTCCACCTGAATACCCAGGAATTCTAATACTTCATACCCTAGAAAGAAAATTCAAAAACATTTGACCCTAGCCTTTCAATGTCAGTGATGACTCAGGACATAGGAGAACCTATATGGAACATCATATAACTCAGTTGTGTCACCAATTTTCTGTCAAGGAAATTATGGGGCCACAGAGGAAAGTGATCAATGATGCAGAGTGTTCCTAAGGAGAGTCACGTGGAGAGAAAACATTCTCTCAGGCTTTCACAGAGAGCAAATAGGTCAAGCAATGGCTGTGATGCATTCACATGGCTGACACTGACAAAGGAGCTACAAACTGCAGTACAGGCTTACAGGATAAATCTGAGGGTACTTGACTGACGTTGTCAGGTACAAAAGTTATGTTTCTTGTTATGTAGGTCTTGCTTTATCTTTGTCTTAACCATTGAGCAGAAAAGTATAAAAACGAGGTACATAAAGTAAAGTCATATTAATATGATGAACTGTGAAAGGCTCTAGTCAACAACTTCTGTGGATAACTCGCTACTATTGTGGACTGGTGGACTGCGTTGGATTGTTTTGCTGAATTCACACTTCTGTAATATTTAGATGCCAATGGAATACTCATCTCTGACAGGACTAAACAAAAAAGGGGATAAAATGGAAGGACCATTTTGTATCTGCATATTCAGAGTAGTTAGGATAGATATACTGCTACTTTTGTTTAATTCAATAGGAAAAATTTGTACTAACAGTGTTTTGACAGGACATACTGTCTGCATCGTGTACTATGGATAAACTCTAAGAACATAACAATGTACAATGTATTAATTATTGAAACTGTCCTATTAATCAGTTTTGAAAAAAAAGATTAAACCATTTTAAAATAAAACAGAGAAAAATTTTCTTCATATGATTTGGGGATTTTGTGAGTTTAGATTGTGTCCTTTACTTTATTCTTTTTAAAAAATAATTTCATTAAGAAACAAATAGCAATGAGACAGTTTCAAAACCAATTATTTGCACAGTTTCAATAATTAATACATTGCATATTGTTGTCTTAGTGGTTATTCATCGTACAAGATGCAGACATGATATCCTGTCCACAAACAGTATTAGAACAAATCTTTCTATTCATTGAATTAAGAGAATGTAGCTGTGTATCTATCCTATTTTGAATGTACAGATACAAAATGGTCATTCATTTGTATCACCCTTTTTGTTTAGTTTTGTCAGAGAAGGGAATTCCATTGTTATTTAAATATTGTAGGTGCTTGAATTCATCAAAATACTCCAATATAGTTAAGTAGTCCTTAATGGTGGTAGGATTTCTGTAAGACTGCAAATGTCAGACACATAGTGAGGTTAAGCTCAACTGCATATGTTGTAGGGTAATAATAATAAGCTTTTATTCTGGAGGGTTAACAACCTAAGTTTGCAGACCAAAAATTAGAGAAAAAGAAGGGCTGCAAGGACAGCCAACATTTTGGTCCTAGCCTTTCAAGGTCAGTGAAGACTCAGGAGATAGGAGAACCCATACTATAACATCATACAACTCACTTGTGTCCCAAATTTTCTGATCAAGGAGATTATGGGGCCACAGAGGAAAGTGACTGATGATGTAGAGTGTGTCTAAGGAGAGTCACATGGAGAGAAAATATTCTCTCAGGCTTTCACAGAGAGCAAATTGGTCAAGCAATGGCCGTGACTCATCCATATGGCTGACACTGACAAAGGATCTACAAACTGTGGTACAGGGTTTCAGGATAAATCCTGAGGGGATTTGACTGACCCTATTAGATACAAAAGTTACATTTCTTGTTATATAGGTCTTGCTTTATCTTGGTCTAAACCATCCAGCAGAAAAGTCTATAAACAAAGTATAAAAAGTAAAGCCATATTAATATGGCTGTAAAAGGCTCAAGTCAAGAACTTCTGACATTGCCAGTCTTATGGAAAACCTACTTTATTCTTTGATATTTTCCTCATTGTATTCTTTTCTGTTACTTTATTTAATTCTGTCAATTTTATTTTTATTCTGAAATAGGACATTTTACTCCACTTTCTACCTTCCTTCTAATTTATTTGCTTTCTATATTCCACTTTTTTCCTTCTGCCATTCACCACTACTCCAGTTTTCCTATCTTTATTGATCTTCACCAAGTTAATGTGAATTAAGCTTTAATAACATTTAGATACTTAGTTAACCATATGATATTATTAAACTCTTCTCTACTGTTAATGATGGTATAGTACATACATTGGTTGATATTTACTCTGTGTCAATATTTGGTTTATAATTATACATAACATAATTATAGATCTATTTCTATGGTTTAGATACTACCATGGTAGCTTCTATTTCTTTCTTCTCTTTTGTAGTATGTCACTAATCCAGTCTGAAATGAGCATTTTATGTTATTTATTTATTTATTTTTTTGGAATAATGTAGTTTTTATTATTTTTCCCCATGAATATTTGTTGAAGTAGCAATTCTAATACAAAAGCATTTGAAAAATGAACCTCTAAGGAAAATGCATCTTATACAACTTTGATCTTAAAATATTTATAATGAATATGCTTATCCTAGAAATATCACATACTGCTTTTTATTATTTGTTCTGGGTGAAATCACAGGATTCTAGCCTTGATGTTTTTTTACAAGCTGAGCAGCATTAGCAAGATGATCTTCTGGAACACATTCAGCTTTCTTTTCTTTCTAGCCTTTGATTTGTTGATTTCTGGCACTTTTTTCCCCAGGATGTTCCTGGGATTCACAAACAGCTGGTGAAGGGGGATTAGACACATGACTGCTAACAGGTGAGCTCTGGAAACAGGTGAT